GGTGAGGTTGAAGTCGACGGCAGCTGGGGCGTAGAGGCCTGCGCGTGTGCTCGCTTAAGCGAATTCCGTCAACAACATTACGCCACGTGGGACGGCAAAATGGCGCCCATCACTAGCATGCATACCCAACTCCAATCACGCGCGCGATCAGCCAAGAACGGATCTAACTGCAATGTCAACCGCGTCCAAGGACATGCGCGGTCATTTGGCGTCGACGCATTTGCCAGCGACACTGCCAGCGACGCGAGTATGAAGGGCGCTGAGACGACACGCCCGACGGTGTGTGCACAAACACTAGACGCGTGACATTTCACGCAAGCACGAAATCCCTAAATCTATCCGCAACACGGGCGCCGACCTGGCTTCCTCCAGGGTGCGAACTCTCCGAACACTGCAGTTCTTTCAGGGTACTACGCGTCTCACACAGTCACGTCAATAGAGCTTGCTAGAGCTTGCTGTGAGTGCTGCAGTGAAGTCAACTGTGGACCATCCACGATAACGCACTGTCGACGCATCAAACCGGGCAAGTGCCGTGCCATTAACACCCGTCCACTACGCATGGTGGTTTTTGCCATGGAGATAGTGTAGTAGGTACATGTAGAATGTGTACATTCTACGGACACTCGGCGCGCCTACGGTGGTTGTGGCGAGTGAGTCACGTTGGGCAATTGGCCGTCACTCGGACCCGTACTGCGACTCTCTCGACCAATCTGGACAGCAAGGGAAGAAGGTGCTGCTTCAATACCCTCGCCATGATGTGCCCGTTTCGCAGAAAGCTGTATGATGGATGAGTACGCCGAGGTCGTGTCGACGCCACATAACTCGTCCTGGGCAGCGTATCCTTGCCAGCTCGTGTGCCATTCTGGATAACGGCGCTACATGGCCGAGCTCTGGCTCTGCGTCGGCTACACAGCATCGTCATCTCGACAACCACATCGCTAACCATTGTTTCTGTCTCTCCAGCTTTAGCTTCTCCCGCAGCGACGTTGGTGATGTAAGCATCGTGGTGCAGTTGAGAAACAAAGGTCGACACTCTCAAACTCAAGACGCTTCCATTTCAATTCTCTTTGGCCGTCAGCTGCAAAGCGAAAACGCCAGAAGGGCCGATGGTTACTTGCACATTAATCGGCATTTGCCAGCGCTTTCGCAATGAGAATCTCTCTACTGGTGTCGCTTTCTCTCGACCTATCAATCAACTAGAGCGATGGGATGCAACTCTAGTTGCCTCTTGTTCTAGCGCGCTTGTTTCCGTGCATATTCGCACTCTCTCATCCTGGGACGGCCTCTCAGAACATGCTTTGTGGTGAACCATCGTGCAACCTTGTGCGCGTCAATGTAATAATGTGAGCACGAGAGCGGTCGGTACACGTGGGTACATCCAACACCGCCCACGTCCCTACACAGACACGAGCGCGATCGATTGTGAGGTCGCACGACGCAGCTGCCGACCGATCGCAGTCGCACCGCTTTTTCGTGGTGCAAGCTTCCTGCTCCCTCTCAACGTCACAATCAAGCTGCAGAGGTCCGAGGTTCTACGAGCGTCGTTGGTTGACACTTTTGTCTCTTGCGCCTACCGAGAATTGTGGCATCAAACGGACTGGACATGCCTCTAAACCATGTTTTCATATTCGTTTCTCAAAAGTTACATAGTTGTTGAAGAAAACCCGCAATATGGACACGACCGGTGCGGATGAGTCGCTCGGCCTCTGATTGGCGGAAATATCACTCGCCTTGGGTGCGGATTGGCTCCGTGAAATGTGTCTCCGTTTCTTTGACAATCACCCAGCGACGTTGCCCTTGGGCCGCACAACGCGATGCGTCTTTCTCCTACTGCGTCCTTTGGCATGTCCGTTAACGTCCCGACCAACACTGAACCGTATCGTGTTAGTTTCTCCGAAATCTCTACAAATAAAGTTACTTTTCGAGTTTGCTGTGGGCCAAATCCTTGATCGTCCTCTGCTGCATCCACCTCGCGTCCATCGCGACTGGCAACCCGACGCAATATATTCTACATATTGGTGCGTCTTCGTCCACACGATCTTCGTCACATTATCATCGCTATTACAACCCCCCGGCAGTACCAGTCGGTACGTGCAGTGGTAACTCTACAACGCTTCGAAGTGCACATTTTCCGACTTCAACAACCCTGTTCAGTCTTCAACTGGCCGGCTCCTGCACACACACTTTTGTTCCTATGGCACTGCGCAACCCGGACCTGATGCGCCAAATCGCGTCGTACCAGTACGGTATCTTTGAGGACGTTCGACCCTTCTTCAGCGCGGTCCTGACCCTCAAGTCGCTGCACCATGATGAATCAACGTCCCGCACGAGCTTCATGGTTGCGCTCGACACGGCGATCGCACCGTTTGTGACATCGCTGCAGCAAGGCCTCTTGATGCGTCTTGTGCGCTGCGTCCGGTCCCGCGACTTTGCCTTTGTCATGAGCTGCCTCGTCAAACATGCCATTGCCCGCGGCCACGTGGAGATCCTCCACAACGTCCACCGCCGCCTCTCGCTGCACCAGTGCCAGCACCTCGCGCTGCAAGCCGCCGCGTACGGCCAGCTCCGCGTGCTCAAGTACCTCCACGCGATTGCGTATCCGCACTGGGGCCCGACGCCGCTTCTCGCTGCCGCGCAGTGCCATGACGCAAAAAGCGTCGCCTTTCTCCAAGAGCAGTATGCTCAAGACTGCGTCTGCCATGCACTCACGACCGCTGCCAAGGCTGGCGACCTCGCGATCGTCGAGACGCTGTATCCACACCGTCACGCCGTTGGGTGCGTCCACGACAAGGCGTTTGACCAAGCCGTGAGCGCGGGCCATGTGCCAATTGTGGCCTACTTGCTCGAACGAGGCGAGACGGGGTCCGGCATTGCGCTGGCCCTTGCGGCCGACCACGGCCACCTCTCTCTCGTCAAGTACTTGCACCAACACTTGGACGATGCGAGCGGCCCTGTCGTCATGGACTTGGCCGCCGCCAGTGGCCACTTGGCCGTGGTGCAGTACCTGCATGCGCACGATGTCTCCGGATGCACGGCGGTCGCTCTGCGCGAAGCCGCGGCGTACGGCCATGCAGACGTCGTCGCCTTCTTGTTGGCGCATCGGATGGAAGGCAACCCGCTCGTCGCGTGGCGCGTGGCGCGGCGCCATGGCCACGACGACGTCGCATCGATTTTAGAACCGTTTATTGCCCGGCGATCGCAGCCGGCACGGAGCTGCAAGCGCAAAGCAGCTACGACTTGCTGGAGTACGTGTACCACGAGCGCGCCAAAGCGCTCGCGTGATGTGACTAATACCGTGTGATACGCTCATTGTTTGTGCTTGTTGAGCTCCGTGTTGGTGGCCAAAGCTGTGGTGGAGGGAAAAGCCTTCGGTACGAACCTCCGGACGCAATCACAAGGTATCTCCAGGTCGTGGGATGCGATCGTTTTGCGCGCGTCGAAGCCCAACTCAGTCGGTGACGTGGCAGCCGCGTGTGACAGAGATGGGGCGGATGTGCAGCTTGCATTTAAATATAGATGCAAAGCGTTTAATTTGTATGCAATACAATATGGCATTTAAATGATTCCATTGGTCTTTATTCTTGTACTTTTGACCAATCCTGTGCGACTTGGGTGCGTACACCACCGCGCGCGCGCGCTCGGGCGCGCCGAATGAAGTTTTTAATGAAGTCGCCCATAGTTGGCGGAGCGATAGCAGATAGTCTAGGAAGCATATCACGCTACGTCACGTCGGCGTTGGAGCGGTGCAGCAAGTGCAATCGACCACACTGTTACATGTTGTAGTAGCCATATATAGCCACATGTAGCCATGTTTAGTATGTTATCCGGACGTATTCGGATATCCATGGACTCATTTCTGTGGTCGTATTTTTGGCATCAATATGTTGCGCCACCTCGCCGTCAACTGCGCTGCGCGCCGCTTTGCGGGCCTCACCGCCGCCCCGTCCTTGGTCGCCCGGCCGTTCTCCAAGAAGGCCAAGGGTACATCTATGTTGTGTGAAGGCCATATGCTCATGCGACGTCTCCTTGCATAGCTGGCAAGGGCAAGTCCGCGCCCGAGGTCAGCGTCTCGCTCGACGACGTGAGCAAGAAGACGCAAGACGACGTCAAAAAGAACATGAAGGGCGCCGTCTTAAACTACACCAAGGTGCTGAGCGCCATGCGCCCGGGCCAGGCCGACGCCGGCATCTTTGACAATCTCATGCTCTCGGCGTACGGCCAAATGGTGCCGCTGCCGCAGCTCGGCCAAGTGTCGGTCGTCGGGTCGCACGAGCTCGCGATCACGGTCTACGATCCGTCCATGATCAAGGACGCCAAGAAGGCCATTGAGGAGATGAACCCGTCCTTCACTGTGCACCCGAATGGCACGACGCTCGACATTCGGTTTCCCAAGTATGTCCAAAAGACATTTGGCGCAAGCGACTCATCTTTGACGAGGGTAGGATGACAAAAGAGACGCGCGACGAGCTCATCAAGGCCGCCAAGAAGCAAGCCGAGGCCGCGCGCCAGCACATTCGCCGCGTGCGCCAAGACGGCATGAACGACCTCAAGAAGCTCAAGGACAGCATCTCGGAAGACGACATCAAGCGCGAGCAAGACAAGGTAGGCATTCTCCATCTCTTCATTCTCCTCTATCTTCATTCTCCTCTATCTTCATTGTCCCATTTAGATCCAGCGCCTCACGGACGAGAGCATCAAGGACATTGGTTTGCTCTTGACGGCCAAGGAAAAGGATCTTAGCAGCGTCTAGTCCACGTACCAATGCCATCACAACACTGTCTACTGTGTGGTCATCGACGCAACCATGTCTCTTCTTCTCTTGACGTTGTATTACGTGCTATCTACAAGATGGACCACTTGTTGCGGACCTTGACGGCGAGCTGTCGGACGACGCGCTTTCGGTCGTCGATCGGCGCCAAGAGGCGCTTGATGACCATCTCCTTGTACGGGTGGATGAGCTCGTACTTGGTCGCCGCCAGCACGCCAATGCAGTCGAGCGCGTCCATGCGGTCCCGGGCCGATTGCCTGGCATCATACATCACACCAGTGTATCATATCGCATGCCCAGCGTACCCAAACTGCGTCTGCCACAAGAGACCGTTGAACACGTCCTTGAAGAAGCCTTGGACGAGGTTCGGGTCTTGCTGCAGGCACATCTACCACCACCAGCCTCACACGTCCGTCGATATGCATCCACGCAGGCCGTACCTTGAAGGTGGCCAGCGCCGAGTGTCCGAGCAGCCCCGTCTCGGTCAACGCGAGAATGACGAGCGGCGCGATGTGCGCCAGCGACGGCACAAGGATCGCTTGCGGCGTGTGGGCGACGACCAAGAGCAGCGCGACGCGGCCTTCGTAGTCGAGACTCGACTGAAAGAGGAGCGGGAACACATGCGCAAACGTGCGCTGACGGTGCACGCACTAGACACCATGGGATTCTATCAATCTATCAATGTATCAAAGGTCCAGCACGTACGCTGATCGAGGCGTGGCACGCCGGCGCGAGCACATCGTCCGAGTCGGCGACCAGCGCTGCAAAGCTAGTGGCCACCGCCGGCCGCAGGTCAAAGGGCGACGTCAAGAGCGAGCAGAGGAACGAGAGCATGGCCGGCGCATACGTAGCGTGCCCACGGAGCACCATGGCCTTGCCGAGGTAGACGTACGTCTGCAGCGCCGCAAGCCGCGCATGTTGCGAGCTGCTCGCATCGACGACGACGGCCGCCGGCGACGCCATGCCTTCAAGCCGCGCCTCGGGCGACGTGACCCAGTTCAAGTACAATGCAAACAACGGAGTCTCTTCCGGAAGGACGTTGAAGAGCGCGGCGAGCGCCTTGGCCATGCTGTCGTCGCCATGGCTCTGCGCAGCGAGCGTAAAGAGCTGCGGCAAGAGGCGCGGCAGCACGTCCGGGTCGAGCGCCGTCAACGCCGCACCGCACGAGTAGAGGACTGCGTGCAGCAGCGGCAGCAATTGCGCGTGGCCGCGCAAGGGTGACATGTCCGACGTCAGCGCCAACTGCACTGTCGACGTGAGCAACGTCGTTTGCGCAACGAGAGACCCGCACTGCATGACATGCGCGCTCATGCTCGCGGTGGCCAATACGATCGGACGCACGTCGATCGACTGCGTCCGAACGTGCACGACCAGCGCGTCGACAAGGCGGGCGAGCACCGACGACGACGTGTCACTGGTGCCGAGGATGACGTAATCCATGCACGCAACCGAGCCCTTGTTGATTCGGACAATGTCGGCGGCGGCCGCCATCGTCGCGATTGCAAACGGGTGAGTCCAGCCGATCTGGCAGAGCGGCAACAACAGCGCTTCAAAGATCGGTGGCGCAAGCGACAGCTGCGTGAGGACCGCGAGCGTGTCGTGCACCATGACGTCGATCGACCGCCCGGACGCCGCATTGGCCTAGTTCACCATGGAGTTAGCAACAATGGAAGACATATTGAGAGAGATAAAGCGTACCGCCGGCTCTTCGAGGACATGCAGAAAGGACGGCACACAGCGCGTCAATACGAGGTGCGCAAGGCCCGGCGACTTGAGCGCGATCGCTTGGAGCGTGCTTGTGGCTTCGTCACGCACGTCCGGGAACGCGTTCGTCAGCACCGTGTTGGTCCAGCCCTGCAAGAGCAACTCGAGCGAAGCATCGTCCAAGAGGGGCGACGGCGGCCGCAAGACGAGGCAGCACAGGCCTTGGAGACACAGCTTTTGCTGCCGGCTCGAAATCGCTCTTTCAAGCCCGTGCACGAGCGTCGTTTGAATCGCATGCACGTACGGGACTAGGGGCGGCGCCGAGTGGTCGACCTCGGCGTCGATGCACCCGAGGAGGTTCACAAGGCGAGCTGTCGCCGCCTCGGCCGGCGACCCGGCCTGCGCTGCGCACTGCTCCAAGAGCAGCGCGAGCGCCGATGCAAGCACGTGGCTGAACCCAGCGACACCGACGCTCGCGATCGCACAGAGCACGTTGCCGGCGCCCGTGCTCACCATCGAGTCGGGGGCTTGGTGCGAGAGGTCCTCGACCGCTTGGTTGACCAAGTAGACAATGCACTTGTTCCATGCGAGGGCTTGCATGCCGGGCAGCTTGCTCGGCGGCGAGACCGCGCGCGTGATCGTCTTGAGCGCTTCGATCGCGACCGCAATGACCGCCGTGTTGTCGCCGTGGAGCACGTGGTGGTACACAGCCGCAGCGACAGGCGTAAAGTGCAACAAGAGGCGGTTGAGCGGGTACTTGGCGCAGCAAAACGCCAAAGTCTCGAGAATGTCCTTGGTCATCTCGACGACCGTCGTGCGGCTGAGCTTGTCGAGCACCATGGGGAGGACGTGCTTGGCGAGGCTGTCGTGGCCGACAAAGACGCTGCGGAGCGCCAGCACGAGGTCCTCGGACGTGATGCCGTACGGGTCGTTGGGCGGCGGGCGAAACGTGATCGGAAAGTAGCACGACGTTGCATCAAAAAAGCCCTTTGCAACGTCAGCGTCGACGATGCTTGCGTAGGTCGTGAGGAGCTCGGCGGCAAACCGGAGGCAAAAGAGAAGGTTGCGCGGGTCCTTCTCGCCGCTCATGGCGCGCAGGAAGCCATCCATGAGCACCCGCCCTTCGTGGTCGGCGAGGGCGCCGCGACGCACGATGAGCTGCAGCAGCTCAAAGCTCTGCTTGCGCATGCTCTGGCTCAACGACGCGATCGGCGTCGGGAGGTTGAGGAGCGTCTCGACTACCTATGTGCGTCATTGGTACCATGCATGCTACACGAGGCGCGTACCGTCCACGCGTCGTTGGCAGGCAGCAGCGCGGCGTGGAGCGAGATGAGGGCCACGAGCGCCTTCAAGCATGGACCCATGCTCGGGCCGTCCTTGAGCCGCTCGAGAAAGAACGTGAGGAGGAGGTGCGCCGTGTCGCTGCTCAAGCGCAAGTCTGGCAGGCGCGTGAGCACCTCGGCGAGGAGTAGCATGGCCCGCGATCGGCGCTTGTCTTGGGCGTGCGTGAGGTGCGCGCCGAGGCCCTGGATGACCTGCTCGATCGGCGTCTTGCGATGCACGCTCATGACGACGTTGTTGAGGTGCGTCGTGTGCTGCTGGTCGCCATTCTCGGGGTCGACAAAGCCATCGATCGCCGGCTGCAACGGCGCGTCCAAGCTAAACATGATGTTGGTGGCCCTCTTTTCTGGCCTGTCCTTTCCGGAATCTTGTTGTTTTCGGCATTGCCACATTTAAGCCTGGCCCAGGGACGTATCTTGGTTCGAGATATCGTCGTTGCAGTCGCCCTGTACGCGCAACGTACACTGCCATGCGATGCACCGTGCCTGTCGGCATCGAAGGAGGTACCGTGCAGTGGGCGGGTCACCGCGCTCGAGGGCGAGGCGCCATCCGCGCAAAGCACCACCGCCTTTCCAACTACAGTTTGTAGTCGACGACATACGCCTGCTCGTCATACGCTGTATGACCGATATGGACGTCACGCAATGACGTTCTTGGACGAGCAGCGGACCCCTCCGACACGTGCATCCCTCTCGGGATCGCATGCGCAAGGTGTCGACGAAATGTGCCGAATTTAACCACGCCTGACGATGCGCCTATTCTTATACCGATTTTGGCCAATCAAATGGACGCATTCGTATCCGGTTCATTGATTGGCCCGTTTCCCAATATGGCCGAATGGTTGGTGCTTGAAAAGGTGTGACCGTATCCAAGTTGCAACTCTGTGAATTGCCGCCATCCAAATTACATGGACGTCTTCTCGGAGCTGCGGCGCCATGCCGGCGGGAACCACGCGCCCAAGGTCAAGGTACGCCTCTCCTCTGAGCACCCTTCTCGCATCCTCGCTGACATATGGCCATTCTGTAGCTCAACATTGTCTTGGCTGCGATCACCGATGTGATCCTCGAGCGTCGTGGCCCGGCCAACGACGCCGAGTCGATCTCCAACACCGAGTACTTTGCCGCGCTCATGACGGCGCTCGAAAGCACGGACGCCACGCACACACACGAGATCCTCCAGCTGCTCAGCATGGTGCTGCCCGAGGTCCATGAAGCGGTCTTGCGCACCAAGTTTGATGCGGTCGCGCACTGCCTCGTGCGCGTCATGCACGACGCGCAAGCCAACAGCGACGTCGCGTCGCTCAAGTCGGGCCTTGTCTGCCTCGGGCTCGTGCTGCAGGCGCTCGAGCCGACGCCGAGCGTGTGGAGCCACCCGACGGTGCTCAAGACCTTCCACGTGCTCCTCGCGCTTGCGACGGACCCGCAGCCCAAGATCCGCAAGACGGCGCAGATCTCGATCGTCAAGATCCTCGAAGTGCACGCTGATGCGCACTGCGACGCTCTCTCGACGCACATTGCTAGCTTCGCCGAGAACATCCTCGCCTCGGCCGTCGCCAAGGACCAGACCAAGGTGCTCCAGCTCGTCGGCTTTCTTGCGAGCGCGCTCCCGCTGCTGCCGTCCGAAGTCGTGACGAGCCTCACGGAAGCGCTCTTCAAGCTCCTTGGCGCCAACCAAAAGACGCTGTCGCTTGTGACGCTGCAGGCGCTTGACGCGCTCGTCTCGGCGCCGCAGTCGCAAGTGTCGGCGGCGTGCCTCTACGGCACGCTCAACACGGTGCTGGAAATGGACGCCAACGTCCACGACAAGGACGTGGCGATCTGCCTCATTCACATCACGTGCCGGTCGGTCGCCCGCCTCCAGCCGCTCCACGCGGCGCATGCGCAGGAGCTCCTTCCGCGCGTCGTCGTCGCCATGTGCACCTACTTTGAATCGCAGCACGTCCAGGTCCACCGCAAGACCGCCGAGTGCCTCAACGTTGCGCTCCAAGCGACGCTCGACTTGTCGTCGGCCGCGCCCCGTGTGCTCTTCTCGCTCGAGAGCCTCCTCAACCTGCGCTACCAGCACGCGTGGTCGTCGATCTTTGTGCTGCTGTCGTCGCTCGTGTCCTTCTTTGGCCAAGGTGCGAGCCCGAGCTTTGACGGCGTCTTCAAGACGACGGTCGAGCTCTATGAAGCCATGGATGCGATGCCGCAGGCCTCCGATGAGATGCGCAAAGCGTTCACGCGCTTCATGATCGCGTCGACGATCGCGGTTGGCGCCGAGCGCATGATTGCCGTCGTGCCTCTTCAGAACGGCGCCGGCATTGTCGAAGAGCGCACGTGGCTGATCCCGGTCGTCCGGGACGCGGTCAAGCAGATCCCGTCGCGCCTCGAGTTTTTTGCGACGCACATTTTGAACTTGGCCAAGAACTGCGAGGCGGTCGCGCGGTCGGACTCGACGACGCCGCTCGAGTCGAAGCGCATGCAGGCGCGCACGATGCAGCTCTGGAGCCTCTTCCCGAGCTTTTGCACCAAGCCCACGGACCTGAACCAAAGCTTCAAGAAGATCGCCAAGACGCTCGCGAATGCCATGTCGGACAAGCGGTACCCGGAGCTCCAGCTGCTCGTGTGCCAGGGTCTCCAAGCGCTCATCAAGGCCGCCAACCGCGACGACGTGGCCACCGCGGCGGCTGACCAAATGGCGCTGTCCAAGTTTGCGGCCCGCTTCATCCCGCTTCTCATCACGATCGTCGAGGGCTTGGATGTCGAAGTCGACTCGGAGCGGCTTCCGACGTACGTCTTGTCGCTTGATGCTTCCAGTGTTGACCCAACGCTCGTAGGTTGACCGACACCATCGGTGGCTACGCCAAGCTCGCCGAGCCGGCCTTTATCCAAAGCGTCTTCAAGCAGCTCATGCAAACCCTTCTCGAGACGACGACGCAGTACAAGCGCAGCGACCCCAAGGCGCCCGCGACGCTCGGTCTCCAGGCCCAAGCCCACTTCCACATGAGCATCGCGATGGCGCTGATCCCGATCATTGACGGCAGCCAGGTCGAGCTGTTGTACCGCGTCGTCAAGCCGTATTTGCTCGACGATACCGACCCGATCATGCAGAAGCGGTCGTACTCGGTGCTCGTCCAGCTCTGTGAGCACCACCCGGCGTTTGCGACGTCGCCCGACAAGCTCACCGACATGATCGAGTCGCTCTCCGAGTCGCTCCTCACGTGCTCGGTGCCGGCCAAGAAGATGCGTCTCCGCGCTCTCAACCAAATTGTGTCGGCCATGGAGCGTACGCAGCACGACGACGTGAGCTTCATCCCTGGGCTTGTCGGCGAGATCATGCTCTGCACCAAAGAGGCCAATGCCAAGGCGCGCGAAGCAGCATTCGAGCTCCTCCTCGCCATGGCGCGCCTCGTCGAGTCCAAGCACAGCACACCCGGCGCCGGCCTCATGGACTTTTTGCAGATGGTGCTCGGTGGTCTTGCCGCGCGCACGCCCCACATGCGGTCGGCGTCCGTCCTCTGCATGTCCCGGCTCGTCTTTGAGTTTGGCCGCACCGAGGACGCGATCCGCAATGCGATGCCCGACCTCATGCGCACGGTGCTCATGCTCCTCCACGAGAAGGCCCGTGAGGTCATCAAGTCGGTCATTGGCTTCATGAAGCTCGGCATTGCGATTCTGTCCAAGGACGCGCTTGTCGAGTTTTTGCCGTCGATCATTGAGGGTCTTCTCAAGTGGATCGGCGAGGCCAAGCAGCGCTTCCGCGCCAAGACGCGGACGATCATGATGAAGCTCTGTCGCAAGTATGGCTACGAGTACATTGCGTCGCTTGTGCCAGAAGGCGACAAGAAGCTCATTACGCACATCCGCAAGACCAAGGAGCGCGAGGACCGCCAGAAGGACAAGAAGCACGACGGGCACAGCGGCAGCAAGGCGCAGTCGTTTGAAGAGTTTATGCAAGACTCGGACGATGAGGACAGCGACCGCGAAGACGCCAAGCCGTCGGCCAAGGCGTCGGGCAAGTCGGCCGCCAACCTCAAGGTCGGTAAGAGCTACATCAAGGAGAACGCCGAAGACGAGATTGTCGACTTCCTCGACAACTCGGCCTTCAAGAACATTGTCAACTCGCGCAAGACCAAGAAGGCCCACCGCGACGACGAGGACTTTGAGTTCTCCAAGGACGGGCGCTTGATCATTCCCGGCGAGCCGGATGCGGACGACGACGTGGCGATGGAGTCGGACGACGAAGACGTCGTGCGTCGTGATGTGCAAAAGCAGCTCGAGCAGATGGGACTGAGCAAGAAGCGCAAGATCGAGGCGGTCGCGGGCCAAGAGTACAAGGCCAAGAAGGCCGGCGGCGACATCAAGAAGAAGGGCAAGCTGGAGCCATATGCGTTCATTCCGCTCGACCCGAAGCTCATGGCCAAGCGCAACAAGCGCACGGCCGTCAGCCGGTTCGAAAAGGTCGGCAAGCAAAAGCACAAGAAGTAGATTTAAGTTCTTGCACAATTTTAGTATGTTTTGAATGAATAGTGGAAGAGAAAGCAACCGCAAGAGTTATGCGAGAGGGGCGCGTGCCAGTGCGATATAGTAGCCTAAGAACTGCACATCGGACGCGTCGACAGCTAAACACAAGGGTCCATAAATATGATCCCTTGCCAATAGACCTTGAAACATCGATATATTGTCCATCTTAAAAACCGAAAAATGATTTATGCTCGACGCTACTACGAACGACTAGACTAGATCGCATGGTCGAGAAGCGTGAGGAGAAGCGCGCGGTAGTCGCCACTCGTCTCGCCGTTGATGCGGTCTCGAAGGGATTTGCCGTACTTGGCCTGGTACACTGGCTTGACCTGGGAGAGGAGGTGCTGGTAGCGCACCATGGCCGCCGAGAGGCCATACTCGTCCGTGCCCATGCCCTTCATCGTGCTCTCAATCTGCTCGGCGACCGTCTCGATCGGGTGCAAGATGATGTTGACGTGGTACACCAACCCGTCTTCGGCTTTGCCGCCAAATTCTTTTTGGATCGCGTGCACAAGCCCATGAGAGTGCTTTGCGGCGTAGGCGGCGTCGACGGTCGCGACGAACTGCGGCGGGATCGAGCAGATAGCATTCGAGAAGCCACTTTCATCTGTGCCCCACTTGCCCTCGCCGGCCTTGAAGATGGTCTCGGCAATCTCGGCGGCCTTGGCCGGCGTGTGGATGCTCGGGTTGTACGCCTGCGACATTTGGTTGAGCGCCGCAAGGTAAAACGTCTTGAGGTCGCCGCTCACGTCGTCGTTGATGGCGACAACGAGGTCGGTCTGGTAGAGCTTGAAGAAGGCTTTCTTGAGGATGTTGAGCTCGACGTTGGAGCGACCGCTGAGGACAGGAATCAACAGCTTCTCGGTCGTGCCCGCGCCCTTGGTCGCATCCCGGAGAATCATGGCTTCGGCCTCCTCGATTGGCTGCGAAAGGAGCTGCAACAGCTTGCCGTAGTTGCCCGACGTCTCGGACGCCATCTCGGAGAGGAGCGACTTGTGGTACAGCTCGGGGTACCGAAGGTGCACCAGGCAGCGCTCGACGGGTGACTTGTTGCCAAGAACCGTGCTGAGCTTGGCTTCGTTCGTTCCGAGGCCGGCGGACGCGGCTTGGATCTCCTTGCACGCGCGGTCAATGGCCGGGTTGGCGTGGCCGATCGACCGGCCAGCGTCGACCTCGTACGTCTGCTGCGGGTAAATGTTCATCACTGCGGTGGGTTGGTGACTGTTTGAGAAATGAATGAAGAAGTGTCGTGGTCGGCTGCAGGGCAAGGTGAATTCAGCCGTCGTTGTCGACCGCAGTACCCAGCATGCAGAGAACGCGCCTCACCTTCGAAAGGCGAAGAGATTCCCGTTGAAAGCCATCTGCAAAGCACCAAGGTGGGCCATCGCGCGCTACGACACAATAAGATGCCAAATAAGATGCCAAATAAGATGCCAAATAAGGTGTCAACTAAGGTGTCAACTAAGGTGTCAACTAAGGTGCCAAATAAGATGCCAAATAAGGTGCCAAATATAGCGCATGAAGGTGCGGGCATGCTGTACCTGCGTTATGCGACACGACTGTGCTATCACCGCCGGTGGTTTGGGTGCTCCGTTCTACCGAGAATCGAGCGGCTGCAAGGCGAAACGTTCGATCATCTTGCTCTAGACCAATGGGACACGACACTTTATGAACGGGCGAGATGCACCCACTGCACACTGCACGTAGCTTCCATTTTTGCTTGGCATGTGGCGGCGTGGTCAAGGCAAGTGCCATCACTGTTGGGCGGCGCGATCCTATTCTCAGCGCTCTCGCGGCGCGAGCACGGTTGACTGTCGTCTTGTAGTATAAAAACATAGTCGATTGAAACGCATCTGTACATCCCACTCTACTCGCTACTGGATGACGACTCTACTCGCTACTGGATGACGACTCTACTCGCTACTTGATGACGACGGTCGTGTCTTTGAGCACCTTGATGTTGTAGACTAGGCTCTTGACGTCTGCGAGCTGGTCGTCGAGAAGGTGAATGTGGCAGCTGCCATCTTGCACCACCATGCACATTTCTTTGGCCGGGCCCGTTTCCCCGGCTGCAGTCGTGCCTTGGGTCGTCGGTTGGTACTTGGCTTTGACGCGCAGTTCCTTCTCCGGCAAGCCAAACGTAAACATGTGCGTCATGAAGAACCACTGGAGCGTGCTCAGTCGGCGCGCCTTGCAGATGATGAGAGCTGCCCGATGCTTCTTGTCTTCGCGGACATCCGAGATGTAATCACACAAGATCGACGTGCTGTTGAAGAGCGCTTGCCGCCCGAGACTGTTGCGCGCCATGAGATTCCAAAATGACCGGTTGATCGCTTGATCGAGGAGGGTTATGACGGGGATGTTGGTGATCAGGCCCATGCCCATGGCGTAGCTGACGCGAAAGTAAAAGCTGTTGTAGTAGTTGACGGGGGTTCCATCGAGGTTCTCGACGCTGTTGAACAAATCTTGGCGCACGCTGTTGTTGTACTCGATGTAATTGGGGATGTAAAAGAGCAAGATCGCGCTCAGATACAGAGATGTGACGCTCGTCAAGTTGAAGTAGCCCATGAGTCGGCTCTCGCCGCAATACGTGGCGGTGCTCACGATACTCAAGCCAATTTTGCAGAGCTTGAGAATGCCGCAGTTGAGCCAAAGAAGACGCAAACTCAAGGCGAAAAGACGGACACTCACAAAGAACTGCGGCTTGATCGCGTTGTACACGTTGACTTCGCGAATGTAGATGAGCGAACTGTCCATGTCGAGGATGATCGAGATGCAGAAGAGCGTCACAAACAAATCCGAGTTGTAGCAAAACATATCAAAGCGGAGTGCGTGGCTCAGATGCGGAAAGCATTTTGGGACCACGGTCTGGAGTGCGCGTGTGAAGATCGTGTCTGGTTTTGTCGGGTCGACCTCGAGCCACTGCACCGTGCGGCGGCTCGCGAGGTAGCCCCCAGCGGCAAAGAAGAGCGCAATGAATTTGATCCAGTGCGATGCAGTGTTGAACGCACTCTGACGCGTGAGGAGCCCATGCCGGTGCAGCGACCCGGGCATCGGTCGCGCGAGGACATTGAGCGTCTTGTTGGCATCGGTGTACGTCATGCTAAAGTTGCAGCTACCACGGCCGAGCTCGGCGATCGGAATACACCCCGTGCAGTAGCCTTTCGTAAAGATCTCCCAGACCGGCACGACCTGGACTTGCACGTTGGATGTGTTGGCAAGCTTGATAAACTGCGAGAGACGGACGTCGGCGCCGAGGCGCGCCGGCGCGTACCCGCGTTGCTGGAGCTCGGCGCTGCTCGCTCCAGAACTGCGGTTGCCCACACCCGAGGCGGCTTCGTCGGAGAAGGCAATTGAAATCGCATTCCCGCGCAAAAACGAAACCAAATCAAAGGCGACGCCGAGCTTGAACGGGTTTTTCACCGCCAAATCGACGGCGTAGCTGCCCGAGAAGCGGCTGCAAATGTTGATGCGCGCATCGATCTCAAATTCCGAGGTTGAGAGAAGGTAGATGTTCGAGTTGCGCGCGCCGAGGTTCGACACCGAGTAGTTGGTCATCCAAAGACCAATGCTCGAGAGACTCGCGAGGTCCCCGCCTTTCCGGAACGCATACGTTTCAGCGAGGTCGCCGGCGCCTTTCGTGTTGGCCACCGGCGTGATGAACTCGTTGCCGTCGCCGACAAAGTCGATGATGGCCCAGTTGTTGCAGATCGCATCGATCGCGACGAGGACAACGACGAGGACGCCAATGATGTACGCGGCAACGACCAGGACGCGGTTGATCTTGTCGCGAAGCGCATACGTCTCGGCAAGGGTGCTCAGCCAGCTGAGGGACCACCACGGCGCCTTGTCCTTGACGAGCACAGCGACGGGGATCGACTTCATCACTCGCAAAACACCAACTAACACCTGACAACGAACCGTCGGATCTCAAAATACCGACGCGAGGCCGTTGCCTGGCTATCTTTAAGAAACGAAAACTTACAACGATGGCCCCGGGTGCGCACCTCGTCCGGCAGCTCTCGACGCTCAACGAAGCATATGCACTTCGCGACAAGTTCAACCGTGTCCTTGTCATCATTGCGTACATCATTGGCGTCGTTGTCGTCGTACTTGTCACGATCGACGCGTTTGCCAACAACTGGGCCATCATCGACTTTATCGGCAACGGCAACGAGTTCATCACGCCGGTGGCTAGTGTCCCCGACGCCAACGAGCTCGACAAGTACTACACGTTTCCGCTGCGTCGGCCGGTCTCGAGTCTCTCAAGCATTGGGCTCTGGATGATCAACTACAGCGTCACGAACCTTGGGATGCTCGGTACCAACATTTACCTCTTGTCGACCGACACGTTCTCGGCCGACTCGACCGTCGCATTTGTTTGCACCAAGTTCAACGGCGTCTACCCCATGGACATCAACACTGGGAGTGCGCTCAAGCTCGCGTCGGCGCAGGATTCCATCACGTTTCTTCGCGGCAACGCTCTCTCGATCGCGTTCTCGGACGAAGCGACGGCCAATCTGGCAAATGCAACCATGGGCAGCGTCGATATCCTGGCGCGGGGGTACCAAGCCGCGCGCATCGAGACCGACCTCCGGCTCACGCAGCGCATCCAACTCGTCAACACGAGCGACACGCAAGTGCAGCTGGTGCCGTTCTATCGCATTTACACAAAAGGCTATTGCACCGGCTGCACGCCGATCGCCGAGCTCGGCCATAGCGTCTGTAACTTTAGCATGCGCTACAGCCATGGCAACAAGACGCTGCGCGTTCAGACGTCGCCGCTCGCCAACACGCAGTACCGCATGGCACTCATGATCCAGCGCAATGCGTTTAGCACTGCGTCGCACTGGATCAAATTCATTGCGCTCTTCTTTGCCGCTGGGGGCTACCTTGCGAGCCGCCGGACGGTGCAGTGGCTCGAGGTCGACCCGACAAAACCCGATACGGTCTTTACGCGCGCGCTCCAGACCGTGGTCCCAAAATGCTTTCCGCATCTGAGCCATGCGCTCCGCTTTGATATGTTTTGCTACAACTCGGATTTGTTTGTGACGCTCTTTTGCATCTCGATTGTCCTCGACATGAACGCGTCGCTCATCTACATTCGCGAAGTCAACGTGTACAACAAGGCCAGTCCGCAGTTCTTTATGAGTGTGCGTCTTTTCGCCTTGAGTTTGCGTCTTCTTTGGCTCAACTGCGGCATTCTCAAGGTTTGTAAAATTGGCTTGAGTATCGTGAGCACTGCCACGTATTGCGGCGAGAGCCGATTCATGGGCTACTTCAACTTGACGAGCGTCACATCTTTGTATCTGAGCGCGATCTTGCTCTTTTACATCCCTGATTACATCGAGTACAACAACAGCGTGCGCCGAGACCTGCAAAACACGGTCGAGAACCTTGAAGGTATTCCCGTGAGCTTCTACAACAGCTTTTACTTTCGCGTCAGCTACGCAGTCTTTGGCGGCTTGATTGCCAACATTCTCTTGGTGACGCTCGTGGACCAAGTGCTCAACCGTCCTTTTTGGAAGCTTCTGGTGCGCAACAGTCTCTGTCGTCAAGCGCTCTTCAACAGCACGTCGATCTTATGCGACTACATTGCCGATGTGCACGAAGACAAGAAGCACAAGAGCGTGCTCCTGGTCTGCAAGGCGCGCCGCCTGAGCACGCTCCAGTGGTTCTTCATGACGCACATGTTTACGTTTGGCTTGCCCGAGAAGGAACTGCGCGCCAAGAAGAACAAACAAACGACGCAGCCAACCCAAGGCACCGCCGCATCGAGCGAGACAGGGCCCGGCCATGAGACGTGCATGGTGGTCCAAGACGGCAACCATCACATTCACCTTCTCGACGACCAACTTGCAGACGTCAAGAGCCTAGTCTACAACATCAAGGTGCTCAAAGACACGACCGTCGTCATCAAGTAGAGAGCGTCTTGTTGGTTTATTTCTGCATAATTCATGTTTGTGCATCCTCTGTGATTGAAATATATCTGATAAACCTACATGTGATACCTTTACGTTGGACTATAATGGTATCTTGCGGTGCATCAGTGCTTCGTGGAAATTGCGATCCCTCGAGTGTACACTCCTGATCACGTGCTCTCTCATTCTTGGATTGGCGCCAACGAGTATGATTGGCTTAAAATCGAACCAGTGTGAATGCTACATTCTTGAAAAGAAGCGCCTCCATTGGCTCCAACAGTTTCGCGCTCATTCATTGGCCAAAATGCCTGCCCCGTCATTGCGATTTGAAAGGCTTGTTCGAACTCCGGCACTCCGCACTCATGCTACGTGCCTTCGTATGATCGTCCTGCTATGTTTACCCTTTTCTTTCTTTGGACTGCACATGCGACTATTTGGTATATTGTCAATTACACAATGGTTGATCATCAAAGATAGAAATGCTTGTCTGCTGCTCGGTCTGTGACGCTAGCGGTTTCTAAACCGAAAGCCTGCAAATAGCGTCATGCACACGCTCGAGGCGGTCGATGCCGTTGCCATCGAAGCACAGCCGTCGTCATTCGTTGGCTGGCTCTTTGCTCTCGCCGACACGTACGCACTGCGCGACAAGTTGAACCAGTGTCTCGTGGTCGTCGCCCACGTCGTTGGACTGGTCGTGATTCTCCTCGTGGCCATCGACGCCATCTCCAACAACTGGGCCGTCATCGATTATGTCGGCAACGGCAACGAGTTCATCGCGCCGGTCGCGAATGTCGGTGACGCCCCCGACCTCGTAAATGCCTACACGTTTTTACCTGGAAGGGACCTCCAAAGTCTCTCGAGCGTCGGCCTCTGGATGGCCAATTACACAGTATCGAACCTCGGTCGTCTCGGCTCCAACATCTACGTTCTCTCGGCCGATACGTACGCGTTGGACCATTCCAACGACCTCTGCAGCCGCTTCTCGGGCATATACCCTATGGACCTCGGTCGCACCAACAATGTTGTCAAGCTCGGCATCACGTACGATTTGATTACATATCTGCGCGGCAATGCAGTCACAATAGCTTCAACGGACGAAGCAAGTGCGAATCTCGGCAATGCCTCCATGGGCAGCGGCATGCTGCACCACCTCGGGTACGCGGCCGCGCGCATTGCAGCCGATCTGCGGCTCACGCGCGCGATTCGCCTGCAAAATACCTCGTCATTGCAAGTCCAAGCAGTGTCGTTTTGGCGACTCTACACGAAAGGCTACTGCACCGGCTGCATTCCAATAGCTGAGCTCGGGTACGGCAGCTGCAACTTTAGCATGACGTACACCGATGCCAACAAGACACTCCATGTCCTCGCGCGGCCCATTCTCGGGTCTTTGTACCGCCTTGGCTTGCT